AAAAAATTACAGAGAATAAAGAACGATCTACAAAGTTGGAATATTCAGAAAATAAACAAATTATTCTTGAGTAATGGAGGATAAAATTAAGGCATTGAGATACCTGCAGCTGATCGAGCCTAGAGTGGACACCTCCATCGCTCAATAATCCGATTAGATGCAGTGTTCCAGTTTCAAAAGATTGTTTAATGTACTTGAAACCTTCTCCATCATAAATTTTACCAGTCTCAAGAGCAATATCAACAAGCTTAGCACTACATGAAGAACAAGATATAATTGATTAAACCACAACCCTCGAATCAAGACAAAGTAAATGATTTTTCTTAGTGCATAGCTGTAAACTTAAATAAAGAAAAATGAACAACTCCCATGAAAATAATAAGAAAAGAAAGCTCGATCAGATACAGATTATAATCTTCCTCTTCAAGGAAAAAGAACACTTATATAATCTTTTTTCCACCACATACATCAGACAAAATAAATTAAAATAAAAAAAAAAGTAAAATGTACAAACACCAAACATCAGAAAGCAGCAGCTAAAACATAATCACAATTGTTATAAGTTAAAATCCATTATCATTGCTAATTCCATGCATTCAGCAATCAAACAAGGAGATTGGACTTAGAAAAACACAGCTAAATACACCATGACAGAATCATAGTACTTAAATATAGGCTTTAAGCTATTCACTCGAATGGAATTAACACTCTTAACAAGATCAATGAGCAAAATGGAGCTCACCCTTGTGCGTAGATCCTTCCAGCACCAAGAGCGTTATGGCCGACCTCACTGTTGCCCATGTCATCATCTGTGGGGAGACCCACGTACTTACCATGGGCCTTAACCAATCTCCATCTTTCAGGGGCACCCTTAGCAAAATACCCAACAGACAAATAAGAAAAAAAGATTGAAACTTTGCGTCTTTCATTTCCCAATGGAAACAAAAACCGACTCACACAGATTCAATTTCCCTATAAAATCATAGTAGAACAGAGAAAATTAAACCTTTGACAGAAACCCGAAAACACAAAAAGATTACATTTTTTAGTGAATCCATGGTGGGCGTCTCAGCCACGTGGATACAATTGTACTGATTGGGTTTGGCCTCGCCCCACCCATCCAAAACTATCATGGCTATGGTTTTCCCCTTGGGCAGCTGCGGATGATCCTTCAGTTTCCATGAAAAATCAGAGCTACCCATCTTGTTTTTCCTACCAATGTTTCAAATAAAAATCAGTGAATGTGAAAAGATATAATAGATATAATATAACAACATGCATGAACATTCATACAAATACACAAAGAGCCAGTCAAAAACGAATAGAATAATACCTTTGTGATGTTTCAAGAATCAATCTGTGAAGAGAAAGAAAAAGTAGAGAGCAAGAGTTTGAGATGGGGATTGGGGAGGGTAGTATTTATTCAACCTGGACGGAATTCGATGCGTGATTTAATGATTAAATTATTCTACTAGTACCATTTTTTTTATTTTTTTTTCTTAATTTGGATCTGTCATGGAATATGCCAAATGATGTCTTGATGAACAAGAAATTGCTCAATGGAATATTCTAGAGATGTTAATGGTCCTTGGCCCGACGGGTCGGCCCGTTTAGCCCAAAAAAACAGGATTAGTGCTTTTTATTGGTAGCCCGTTTAAATCAGGGTTTTTTAGGCCCGGACCGTTTAAACCGAAGCCCGTCAGGGCTAGTCCGAAACCCGCTAGGGCTGGCCCGTTTAACTTGAATTGGGCGTTATAAATATTTGCAGCAAGTAAGTAATATACTCTTAGATTCATTGTATATTACAATTTTGCTATTACACTTCACATATAAGTATGAGTTGTAACGGATTATATTGATTTTGAAAGATAATTATTAACAATATTCTTATTTTACTCCACACCAAAATATTTAACTCAATCAGAATGACTAGTAGGAAACAAATGAGACAAAAACCTAACACATGAAACATAGTGATAGAATTTATAATGATGTAATATCGTAAAAATTCCAAAGCATACAAAATAAGTAGTGAAATGGTAATTGTAAGTAATAATTCGAATATTTTTTTCTTTTGAAAAAATAATATTTTTTAAGAGTTTGTAGTATGTGTTTATATATGATGTGTAGTTGTATATATAAAGCGGCAAATATTAAATACCGTTGAAAACAATCGTTAATTAGTCGTGGTAATTTTTTATAATTTTTTCTTTTTATTTTTGATATTTTTGATACATTATTATTATTATTATTATTATTATTATTATTATTATTAAATCTCGCTTAGCCCGTTTAGGCCGAAGCCCGCTAGAGTTAGGGTTAGGTCCTTTTATTGGTAGCCCGTTTAAATCCGGGCTTTTTAGGCCCGGACCGTTTAGCCCGAAGCCCGCTAGAGCTAATCCGTAATCGCTAGGGCTAGCTCATTTAACATCTCTGGGAATATTCACTATTAGATATTAGTGGGCTTTTCCTTTTCTTTCACCTCTCTCCCAACACATAAATCAAGGAAAATCTTAGTCCTATATTTGAAGGTATAAACTATTAATGCAAAATAGTGGAATTATTTATTTTGTTTATTAATTTAAGAAGTCTATTTGTCTGGTCATAAAGTACTATCGCCAATTATTATGCCAATCAAACATACAGCACTAGTCAAAGCAATAGACATCTGGTTTTAGATTCAAGAGTAGTTAGTTAGGCTATAGGACTGATGACATTGTTATTTAGCTTCATTTTGTATTTGATGGTTCAGTCGATGCTACCCATACGGGTAGTACCCACTTGGTGTGGATGTAGCCTTTTTATGCATATTTT